CATTAGAGATGCTAACGGTACTTAGCCTGGTTTCATTAGAGATGCTAACGGTACTTAGCCTGGTTTCATTAGAGATGCTAACGGTACTTAGCCTGGTTTCATTAGAGATGCTAACGGTACTTAGCCTGGTAATCCTGGTTATCACAGTGAAGTTGGGTCTGGCGTCACTCTAAAATCAGCCGGTCGCAGACAGCGTCACTCATCTCACCGTCTGGCTCGACTCCAGCTGACCCTGTTCATACGTGGACTGTTCCAGAACTCTCGCTCGGCAGCTCAGAGGCATAACAGCAGCAGGTTGACTGAACACACTGAGACAGGAAGCAGGGTTGAGTGTTTTGTGAAATGGGCTCAGAAGACTTAACCCCACTGACCCGCCCCCACCACTACCTAACAGAACACAGCATCCAGCTAGCTTGTTTATTTATTTTTTGGGGGGTGTTGAAACTTTTCATCCAATCAAACGCTTGGATTTCAGCCACGCTGACTGATGATTGGCCACTGTTGGTGTCACTGAACGTCGTTCCTCTTCCTGCTTCTTTCTCTACAACAAAGGGACCAATCAGAGCAGCGCTGACCCTCTGACCTCCACAGGTTCTGGTTCTGCTCCACCGAGCCTCAGAACTGACGGCACCGACTGTTACACAGGAACAATCCAATGCAACAATAAACCGGGCTCTGCTTCGCCTCCAGAAACTTTGCACGTGAGCGTTCTCAGACTCACCCGAAGAGTTTTCTTACAGACGAGTATTTTTGAGGCCCGTCTCAGCAGAACTGAATGTCATTTTGGCCCCGTGTGTTTGTGGCGGTTCGACCCGACTGGGTCTAAATGAAAGAACTCTGTAGACGGACCTGCCTCAGACCCTCAGACCTCGACTCATGAAGTATTTTTTTAGCCTGTGGTCTGAGCTGCAGGTCGTGGACCCTGACTTTGTGCGTCTCCTCAGGTCCAGCATGACGACGTCAGGCGGGTTCTGCTCGTGCGGTCAGAACCGGATGTGTGTTTTCTCTGCAGTGACTGGTGTTCCTCTGCCACCGCGTGTTCGAGTCAACAAGAATAAAACACCCGAGAGGAAAGAGTTCTTTGGTTTCTGAGTTTTCAGAATAAAATCTGAATAAATCTTAAAATTTATTATTATTTTGACTCTAATCTGAAACGTTTGGCTTCTTTTTCAGAACAGAACTTTAGTCTAAGAATAGTATTAAATTAAAAATGTCCTCTCTGGCTTTTGTTCTCATGTGGCTCCAACACGCCGTTGTAGTTTCTACGTTTTTGTTTTTTTTACCAATTTGCACCAAAATGATTCCGAGGTGAGTTGGACAAAAGTCGGAGGCGTGTCGGAGGCGTGTCGGAGACGTGTCAGCCTGTTTGAACAGCACAGACCCGTCATGTATGCACAGTATTTTTAATGTTTGCACTTTGCTTCTGTGATTAAAGCTAATTCAATGTTTGATGCAACCGAGCAGAACTGAGAGTCTTCATGTGAGGAGCTGATGATTTTGTGGGTGGGGTAGGTGAAGCACCCACACCTGCCTCCACCCTCATTGGCCCCACTCTGGGCCCATGAGCAAGGCCCTTAACCCCCACCACCTGCTCCCTAAACAGGTCTCTCTTAAAAATGAGTTCTCGTGGCTCAATGAGTCTACCTGGATCAATAATACCTGGATCAATAATACCTGGATCAATAATACCTGGATCAATAATGAGTAAATGAAAAATGATGATGATGAAGAGCTGAGGAAGATGTTCTGCTGTCTAAAATCTTCAGCTTTATTCAGACGTGCACTTTTTTATCTTTTAACTTTTGTTGGTTTTGGCTGAAAAGAAAAATGTAAAGTGTAAATTTAGTTTTCATATTTCATGATCTAAACATAAATAGTTTATTATGTTTAAAAACCGTAATTCAGATATGTTCTGATAATCTTCGGTCATGTTGAGCTGCTGGTTCGATTCTTCAGTTTCCTTCCTGCCAGAACAGGATCCAAAAAACCAACATGGCCGCCCTAAAGAACGAGATGTCTTCATTTCTGAACACTGGAGGAGACGGAGCCGTCGCTGATTGATGAAAATAATCTGGTCCTCTGGCGGCAGCAGCTAGCTGTAGTACTTCCAGCGAAACGTGAAAATGTTAACGAAGTCGTCTGACGACGTTCGTCAGCTTCGGCCTCGACTCGCAGAATCTTTTACAAACGTTTCTGCACGAGGGCCGAGGTTTGGTGAAGAAACGTTCGGCTTCAGCGTTTTCAAGGTTTTTACTAAAACATGTTTGAAAGTTTAATGTCGGTTCGGTTCTGAGAGGAAAGTTCGGGTTGATGTTTAGAACACGACAGATTCAGTATTAAATGATACAACTGCCTGCCATACAAACATGTTAAATGATACAGGCCAGGAGAACTTCAAACACGTTCAGGGGGAGGCGGGGACATCGAGTCCGAGTGGCCATGTTCGGCGCCTCTATTGTTGAGGCGGCTTACTGGAGCTGTGGCCGCAAGGTTGTCTGTGCCGCCGTGACCCTCAAACCCGGTGGTGGACACAGCGGTGAGGGATGCGGTCAGGCTGAAGGAGTCCTGTCGGGCCTTTTTGGCCTGTGGGACCCCAGAAGCAGCTGATGGGTACCAGCAGTCCAAGCGGCATGCGGCTCGGGTGGTCGCTGAGGCAAAAATTCGGGTGTGGGAGGAGTTCGAAGAGGCCATGGAGAATGACTTCCGTACGGCTTTGAGGCGATTCTTGGGTTTCCTGAGCTGTCCCTTAGTCCTGCTGCTATAGGCTCAGACTGCTGGAGGACAAACTGACCACACTTTTCACTCTGCTGCTGTCTTTACTTACTCTGCTCAACCTGGTTTGTATTTGTAATTATTTTTTCTATACTGAACATGGTTTTGTCTTTCAGGTACACCTGGACCAATATCTGTACCTGGACCTATACCTGGACCTATATCTGGACCTGGACCTATACCTGGACCTACCATGCTGTGTTGGTCTGTCTCTCCTTCCTGTCCTCTCAACCAGCCGGTCAAAGCAGATGGTCTCTTGTCCTGAGCTGGTTCTGCTGGAGGTTTCTTCCTGTTAAAGGGAGTTTTTCTTTCCACTGTCTCCACTGTGCTTGCTCAGGATGGGAGACTGCAACGAAGCCAAGATTCATCTTGTCTGCTGGATTCCTTAGAGAACTTTACTAAATATGTGAATGTTCCTGTAAAGTCCCTGAGACAACTTTGCTGAGATTTGGTGCTATATACAGGCCCTTTCCAAAAAATTAGAATATCATGGAAAAGTTGTTTAACTTCCATAATTCCATTCAAAAAGTTAATATTTAATAGGTGATAGATTCAGGGCCCACAATTTAAATGATTTCAAGTATTTATTTGTTCATTTTT